AGGCCAATCACTGTCCACCAGACATCCGCTGTTAGATTTTTTAATATTTATATCTTTTAAAAACAAAGCGGCGTGTGTATGACGTCATCCGCGCGGCGGACTGGAGTCATAACAGGCAGCCTGGGCTATAGGCGGCTACGCTCTACTCCTTCTATTCATTCTAGCTAATCTGAATCGTTCATTTGGAGAGCGAGATCATCTGTGGTAGCAGCTCTAGACATCTTCCAGGCATGTGAGGAAAACTAGCAGCAGTTCAGCGGACAGGATGAAGGAATGGTAGCCGGCGTGAGCGGATCACGTCATACATGCGCCGCTTTGTTTTAAAAAATATAAATATAGACAATATAACCTGAATTTCTAGCAATTGATCGTTGTTTTATTTCTATCTGGGTGTGTTTGATGAATCGGAGCTTCAGGACTGAGATGTTTTATTAGTAGAACATAGAAAGAATGCAGCGGCTCTGCAGAACGGGCTCCTCCAGCTGCACACCTGCTGAGGGAGCGCCGGCTCCTGTGGAGCACGCCCTCCTTTCAGCAGCGTCTGAACCTCCCATGTCGTCTTGTGTGTTTTGGGTTTTTGCGCTTTAATCCTTCCGTCTTTGTTCATCTGCAGTTCAAAGATCCCCTCATCCTGCTGCTGCTCGCCTCGGCCGTCATCAGCGTCGCCATGCACCAGTTCGATGACGCCATCAGCATCACTGTGGTACGTTGAGCTTCTGTCCAGCTGTGTTCCGTGGACCCAGAACGATCCGCTCGCTCAGATCGGACCGGCTGTGAAAAGCAGAACTTCTGATCTGAAATGGTTTCATTTCTGCAGCCGGTCCACTTTGATCTGAGCCTGAAATAAACAAAGGATTGCTGATGATTGTAGGCTTTATATTGTTAGCTTTGTGGAACTGGAGCCCAACCCATGCATGTGTGTTTATTTTTCCCTTCTTGTTGTCTGACAGGCCATCATCATCGTGGTGACGGTGGCCTTTGTTCAGGTACGTCCCAATTTGTCTGGAAGTCTTCCTCTTTCTGACTAACAAAAATAAAAACGGCAGTGAGGAGGAAAAGCCAAACAAAGCTTCCAGCCTCTCTGCTCAGGTCACCCCGCTAACGCCCCCCTCACACCTTGACGATTTAGACCAGCTTATGCCTGATGTACGGAAACTCTTGAAAAAACGCTGCCATACGTTGCATAAGTACGTTGAAACGTGCTGGCACACGTCGACATACGCCAAGTCCCGACGTACGCCAGCATTTGCCATACAT